ATCCCAAAGCAATATAATCATAGCAACAAACTCAAATCCTTGTTCTTTTACCTTAAAATTCAAGAAGCAAAGAGACGGCATATGCAAGAGACGATTCTATTGCGTACATTCTTAGTCAACCAAGAGCTCACATTTATAGAGATTATTGAATTGAGGTTTGAAGCAAAACCTGGTTATTAGTTTCTGCCCTTTGGATAAGTTGAGCATTTAATTAGAGGAAGCAATTGTTAAAAGGAGATCTCGTATCTCTTTTTAGCATGTTAGCCATCACATTTCATTTACCTTTGTTAAAATAAAGGCAGCTTTAAACAATCTACAGACAATAAAGAAGCAAAATATGATGGTAATTAATAATTTGCTAACTTAGAAAATTCAGACGACATGACTTTTTTACCACCAAATATTTGTTATTTAATGTGTAATATTGGTAAAAACAAAATTGTTTTAAAAACTTTATTGCCCAATTGTACCATTAGCGATTAAGCACCACTATTTTCAATGGAATTGAGTTTGATAGGGTTATGGCCTACTGTACACATGGCCTACTGTCTGTATTTCATAAAGTGTATTTTCTGTGTTTTATGTTTTTTGCACATTTGTTCAGGTTTACTCAAAAGAGATGATTTGCCATGAAAATGTTTTCATGACCTACAACATTCTCTTATTTGTTAATTTGTGTTGTGGTCTCTTCTTTGTTAATTTGTGTTGAAAATTAGGATCTGAATCTGATATGAAAATATATGTTTGAACTGGCATGCCAAGCTTTGCTGCTTATAGCAGTCTCTGGGACTGCAGCACTTAGAATGTAAGCATAAATTAACAAAGAAAAATAGAAGAAGCTGAATATCGTGGCACTTTAAGCTTTGCTCAAGCTCCTTTTGGAGAAGTTGGGGTCTTGAGCAAAGAATGTTTGGCTTGTTTTGTTGCAAACTTTATCACTGAGTTTTAATTGGTTTTAATTACTTTTTAATTGTGCTTGAATTTGGTGTGGGTGTCTGTATTTTGTTTTGTTTCTGCCTCATTGAGTGCTTTCTGTTGGCTCAAAGATAAGATATAAAGGGCAGCATTCAGAGATCTAAATTCAATAGGAGCCCTTGTTTGAAGATGTGTTCCTATAGCAGAGTGCAGAAAAAATGATACGTTGCGTAATTAAAAAGCACAACATCCAGGGCCGTCTTAACAGCATTATGGGCCCTGGGCAAAGCAATGTACTGGGGGCCCCTATGACAACTCCTCACAGGAATAAAAATGTAAATGGTCGGTTAAAATTAAACTTATATTTATTTTATTGGCACTTCCAACAAAATCGGTGTTGAAACAGTAAAAACATGCTGTGCAGCAATATGTTGCTGTATTTATATGATACAAGATGCATTGAAGGGCTAACATACACAGATTAGTATGGGCCCACGGGCAAGTGCCCATCAAGACCATGTGTTAAAACAGCCCTGACAACATCCCATTAACATAGGAGCTCAAAATATAGTTGTCTTGGATGCATAGTATGAGCTTAGCCCAACTGTCGGTGAATGTTAGCAGACATTCATTATACTTAAAGTGCTAGATTGATCAAGAAATATATGAGGATAGAAAATTCTCCCTCTGTCTAAGCTACATCTTGAATAGGAGGAAAAAAGAAGGCAGAAAGTTATTTTGTCTCTTATACATGAAGACTCATTGAAATAGCAATTAGCCAGGTAAGGTAAGCTTCACCTTATCCAGGGCTGTCACAAGGAAGAGTCCAGAATAGCAGCCACAGCCATGTGATTGAAACATCACCCATTAAAAAAATGGCTATGTCTTTTATTGCATGCTGTGGCTGCCATCTTGAGTTTTTTCAGCCTCACTTTGTGTTCACCTGTCTCTCCATTTCCATCAACTCAGAGGTGCAAAAAGAGGAACAGGTCATCAAAGTGCATCAACAAAAAGAAAGGGAAGTTCTGGTCAACCTTTTTTTAAAATTATCTCCTCCCCGTTATTTCCCAGCCCCCCTTCCCTGCAAGGAAAAGTGCCCAACTTGCAAACACAGGGAATCTGGAGCCAGTAAATTGTCCAGAAAGAAGAGATTATGTACATCCTGCTCATACTTGTCTCCAGTGGCTTTGAAGCATGACACTTAACTGGGTGTACTGTACACTTTTACCTTAATTTATGACATTTCCTATCCTTTCCTATGAAGCATAGGAGTGTACTGGTTGCCTAAATCTCTGTCTATTTATTGCATTTGTTGGATGAATATGATGTGGGCTTCCTATATGGAAGCAATTCTGCATAAAAGTTCCTCTTGTGTGAAATAACCTCGAGCATCAGGAATATCACAATTTAGTTTCAATTTTTTTTCTACACACATGAATACAAATCAAGCATGAAATCACCTGGATTTGCATAGACATCTGTTGGGAAGAGGGTGTCAGATTGTCAAAAGCAACATTGTTATGTTGTGACGAAAGCTTTGTCTCTTTGCTATGGATGGGCAATTTTGCATAACCCCCAAAGGAGGAAACTTGCAGATAGACCTGGCACCACTACCATGCACTGCAGATTGTGTTTGCCTTGCCTTTCTTTTCTTTGGGGTTTGTTTTCCTGTTATAAATAGAGATTTAGATCTTATCCCACTTTTGAGCGGGGGGAAAAAATCACAAAAAAGACTTGCAGTCAAAGCAATTCAGAAATGATAAGAAGAGGAACGTGCATCTGGGCTCATACTGTACAAGAAGAAAGCTACAGACAGGTGCTGGATATACTTTAGTGGTACATTTATCCATAGTAAGCGATCAGCCTATGGGAAATCAATACTAGTAAGGTATCAATGCAAATATATAATAAAACCTGAACTATTTCCATTCCAAGAAATCCATTGATTTATTGCAAAAGTTGATTGGGAATAAACAGGCCATTGATTATTTAACTCATCACCATAGAATGAACCATCTTTTCTTTCCATATCTTTCAAAATTAGCAACAATGAGCAACAATTCATCACAACCTGTGATAGTTGATCTTTTGCTTATTTTGGGGAACTTGCAAACATACTTGTTTTATCATCATATAAAGCCAGTCTTGTGAACTATAATGGAATGAGAATCTTCATGGATATAACCAGAATATGAATGTGGTAATTTGCAGGGCAGAGTATTGATCTAGGACAGGAGTGTCAAGCTCAATTTTATTGAGGGACACATCATTGGTGTGGCCAGAGTGGGTGTGGCCAGCTCGATGTCACTCATATTTGGGGCACCTGTGGTGGCCCGTGTGCTCTGCCAGCGAAAACAGGCTCCCGAGCTCCGTTTCCAGCTGCGATGGCCTCCTGCAACCCTCCATTTTCGCTGGCAGAGGGTTGCAGGAAGCTGTCACAGCCGGAAATGGAGCTCGGGAGCCCATTTTCTCTGGCAGAGGCACTGTGGGCCAGTCCCTCACTGTTTTTAGGGTGGCCTTGCAGGCCAGATCTAAGCACCCCATGGGACAGATCTGGCCCGTGGGCCTTGAGTTTGACACCCTTGATCTAGGAAAAGGAAAGGTCAGCTTTTGTTTTTCCGCATGGTTATTTTATCTTTAATGTGTGAAGGATTTCACCTGAAATCTGAAGAATTTTTTTTGCTTCAAAATTCAGCTTCAGTTTTCTCAGACTTTTGAAGAAAATGCCAACTTTTGGTAATAGCATTAATTGAAAATCTTGTATAAGAGGAAGCATGCTAAAAGTTTCTAAGTTTCTAAGGAGAATATAACAACTTTTGTTTATCACCAGAATTCCTGCATCTCCTTATGTGAAATGCTACTTTTGTAAGAGCCAAACTAAATATCCAATGTAAATGCAGGCAGTAATTTTCTAGTAGTATTTACATAGAAAGGGAAACCAGCTTGGAAAAGGATATTTATAATAGGAAAGCAGCAGTGGGTAGGCCGTTAGCCTTTCTTAAGTTCCTTTCAATCTCTCAAATAACCTAAACTAACGTAATAATGGTTTTATTATTTAGACATATGTGGATTTCTAACATTTTACATAGTTTTAATGACAAACAAAGAGGGTTTAAAGACCTCCCCAGCTATAATTTTGTTTAATCTGCCACTCCAGCTGCCCCCCCACCCAGTTTTAAAGAAATAATGAAGACAAATTTAATCTGTACACCCGGATATAATGCTTAAATGGCTTCCTTTCACACTCTAAATGCTAATACTCTGATAATAAGTATTTGCAACACAATATTTTCTGTTTATTGAGAAGTAAGTCCTAGTGACACAGTGGGTCCTTTTTTCCAAAGAAAGTTTGCATAAGGTTGCAAGTTTAAAATGACAAAATGTCAAATATTGTTATTTTTTAAAATGTATTCCTTTCTAATGGTTCTTAACAATTAAAACTATGTTTGCCTCAAGAGTCTGCATTATTAATTCACTTATATATAACCTGTGAATCATGCTTTACTCTCCATCCAACTATCTTGGGTTTTCTGTGCATCATCATATTTTAATTATTGCCAAACTAAAAGAATTTTGGGAAAAAATATGTAAAGAGTGCATCTGTCCATCAAGACTCTGTCTATTTATCTAGCAGTAGAATAATTCTCAACAAACTGGACAAGATGGGACTAAATTTCCTGGGGAGGAAGGAACCAGCAATAGAAAACTGACTTTGAAAATGAGCAGGTTTAAGACTTGGCAAAGAAACCCATTTGCCCAATACATCCGTATGGAAGACATACCTGGGTAGTGGATGCTAGTGGGTGCCTAGCAGCCATTCAAACTTTCAAAGTTATGACAGACACCACCAGCCCCAGAAATTGCCTACAACCCTGTACTGGAGTACCATTGGCAACACACATGCACATACACACAAAGTCACAGAACCACATTTTGGTCACTTGGCAACTGGCTCACCTCTATGGCTGGTTGCAGCATTCTGCGTTCACATGACGCAATTTCAAGTGCTTTCTGGCAAAAAGCACTTTATGACCATGACATTGACTTAACAACCGCCACAAAAAGCTCATAAAGGCAGGTCAATCATGTGGGTACCTCAACTTATGACTTACAATGGAAATTCCAGACTCCATTATGATTGTAAGTTGAGGAACATCTGTACACACAGATGCAACACAATTACTTCACAACAGAGAAGAAAACAGACACCTTCTATGTCCACTGCTGAATAATAGGGCTGGAAAGAACTCCCAGACACTTTACTATGCATGTTTTCTTTCTCTTGTTTTTAATGAAATACTTTTTTAAAAATTAAAAATCTGCCCTTGATTCACTATACACAAAGCCATTGGTTTATGATCACTGGTAGAAAAGCCTGTTTGTGATAAAAAAAAAAAGTCCTTAGATGTTTCTCTCTTTCACATAAAAAGCAGATTTAGAGGAGTCCTGTATCTTAGGAAACAAGGAAAGTATTAGCTCACCTCTGGCATTACGACACTCTTCCAGTTTATCCTCTGTATCATTTCAGCACAAAAAATAAGGGGGAGGAAATGAAATCATAGACATCTTGTATTACATAATGTGTCCTGGAATAGAACTGTCCAAGGTCTGATTCTCAATCTAATTTCAGAAGTCATTTAGGTTGGTTCAGGCTTAGGACAAAATCATTTTTCTGTTTTCCAGCAACTTCTTACTTGAGAAGGAAAAGGTCCAAGAAAGAAAGACAGAGAAAGTTGAAGAGGGAGGGAGAAATGAAAGGGGTGGCAGAGAAAGAATGATTTCACCCTGCTTTGCAGTGTCAAGTAGACAGCAAAACCAAGGGAGCCATTAGTAGAGGATTGGAGCGTTTCCTATTTTCTTTGCGTCATCTAGTGTAGGGCTTCCCAATTTTGGGAACTTTAAAAGATGTGGACTTCAGCTCCCAGAATTCCCCAAGTGGGCTGTCGGGCAGCTCAGTACAGTACTTGACTCGACTATCAAGTGAAGTCAGCCTTCAGCAGAAAAAGGTCTCCTAAGCTAACATCCTTTGATATAGGAACCTAATTTCAGAGATAAGATACTTCTAATTAGAAGTTGCTGTTTTTAAGCTGAGACTGTCTAAGAAGGTTGACATCAAGTTCCTTGTTAAGAGGGTTGCGTATGAATGAATGAAGCAGACTCACCTCTCCTTTGAGATTAGTGTATTTTAATATGCATTTACAATGTGTGTTTTTCACAGGGCACTTCACAAAAAGAAAGAAAACATCTCTTTGGTTCACAGTCGCCCTTTTGGTAGTGTCTGTTTTCATACTGACCATAGGACTTGCAGCAACCACAAGAACTGAAAATGTAACTGTGGGAGGCTATTATCCAGGAATAATAGTAAGTCTATCAACCACTGCATTTTAGATTTTTCAGTATTCATAGTGCATCAAATAAGGGACCAAAAATGTAATAATGGTCAGAAAAATTGGGTCTGGCTTTACTTATGATGGAAATTCTAGTTTCAGTTGTGGTCATATGTTGAAAACTATCTATATATCTGTCCTATACAGGTTTTGTGCAATTTGAGAATAAACCCAGTTTAACCAAGTTTAACTTAAGTGTGGATGTAGGTATGAAAGAGCTGAGTCTCAGTTGAGTTATAGCAGTAGGCCAATAGAAAAATCTGAGTTCTACTCTTGCCTCAGTCATGGAAGTCAACTCAGTAACTTTAATCATCTTCTCTTAGTCCTAGGAAAAAGAACCACAAACCATTTCCAAACATGTTGCCTAGAAGATTGCATATGGTTACCAGGAGCCATGTCTGACTCAAAATAATGAAAAAAATATGAAATAATGGGGAAGTTCATTCCTTATATTGAAAACCCTAACATATAGTTTGGGGCAAGATACCATATATAGGACTTTATGGGAAACATGATTGGGAATGCTTCTATCAAGCTTTGGAGGGCTCACCAAATTCATCAATATTTTAGGATTCTTTTGAGTGCCTGCCCTGCTCTACTATTTTTTTAGGCCAGGTAAATCCTCCTTGTGAATCTGAGAGTGAGAATAATCCATGAAGGGATTCCTTTAAAAACAGTTTCTTCAATAGCACCATTATGGTGATCATTTTCCTGTCCTGGGAATGTGCACTGGGCTCCATGTTTTTTGTGTGTTTTAGAGAGAAAATAAAAATATGCTTCTTGACCCAACTATCTGATCTTGGTACTTTACCGTTTGATTACATCTGCCTATTTCATGTTTTCTTTTATAAGGTTAGGGTGAGAGCATTCATGCAATGTCCCTGTGTTTGCCAACTCTGCTTAAGAGGATTTAGCTAGGTCACTCAGGATGTAAGGCTCCATTCCATGTCATGTCCTCCTGGGAGCAGGTTGTCTTCAGAGCAACCAATTTTACTAGTGATGGAGGGAGCTGCTATGTTCATGCCATGTGGCTCAGAATGGCTTCCCTGCTATCCATAGCTCTTCTGTGATTTTGGAGGAAGGACTTCTCAATTCCACTGCAAGATTCTAGTCCTATGTCTTGCAACATTCAGTTGTGATGATAAATGCCACCACTATCTGTTGACTGCTTTTCTGAGTGGGTTTCAGACCACACTAATATTCTGCTAACAATATCATCAAAACTCCACACAAAATGGTACAGCTAACATGAGCCATGAGGTCCAAAATAGAGCAAGTCCTTCCATTGCCACCCAAGCAATGTGTTCCAAAAAGGCCAGCTTCTATGAAAGAATCATGTTGAGTATTACTGTCAAGCTGACCCATGAGACTGTTGCATCTAAACAAGGAAATAAACAAGGAAACATCAAAGCATAGGATGGACCATTATAGAGAAGAAGTGCTCAAAATGACCATAGACCCCAGCATTTAAATCCCTAATTGCCACAGAAAGTTATTTTTAATTTTGTTATCCATAGCTTTATGCTACAAGTAGAAGCCCTGTTAGTCACAAGGCTTATCTGCTGAATGAATAAAAATAACCTATTTTATTCATGGGCCAGTTCTTTGTTTTCAATTCTATTTCTTGAAGAAAAACTATTCCCCCCCACCAAATTACATTTATTTTTCACCATATTATATAGTTGAACAGATATCTATCTATCTATCTATCTATCTATCTATCTATCTATCTATCTATCTATCTATC